TAGCAAACTCAATGCTGAAAAGCTGAAAGCTTTTTAACATCAGGAAGACAAGGATGTCCACTTTCACTTTTATTCAACATAGTACTGAAAGTCCTAGCCACAGCAATCAGACTAGAAAAAGAAATAAAAGGCATCCAAATTGGAGAGGAAAAAGGAAAACCCTCATTATTTGCAGATGACAAGAAAGTATATATAATAACCCTTAAATTCCACACAAAAAAAATCTATTAGAACTGATAAATGAATTCAGTAAAGTATCAGGACACAAAATTAATACTGAGAAATCAGTTGCATCCTTATATACCAATAACGAACTATGAGAAAAAGAAATCAAAATAATCCCATTTATAATTTAATTATATTAAAAAAAAAAAAAAAAAAAAGACCAAAATACCTAGGAATAAATTTAACCAAGGAGGTAAAAGATTTGTACTTGGAAAATTACAAGATGTTGAAGAAAGAAAATAAAGATATAAATAAATGGAAGCACACGCCATGCTTCGTGGATAGGAAGAATTAACATCATTAAAATGTCCTAAGCAATCTATAGATTTAATACAATCCCTATCAAAATACCAGTGGCATTTTTCACAGAACTTGAAAAAATAATCTAAAAATTTATATGGAACTACAAAAGATCCCAAATAGCCACAGCAATCTTGAGAGTGAAGAACAAGTTTGGAGGTATCACACCACCTGATATCGAACTATACTACAAGGCTATAGTCATCAAAATAGCATGGCATAAAAACAGACACCTAGATCAATGGTACAGAATAGAGAACTCAGAAATAAATTCACGCCTATATGCTCAATTAATCTATGACAAATGAAGCAAGAATATATAATGGAGTAAAGACAGTCTATTCAGTAAATGGTGTTCGAAAGAGAAGGATCAAATGCCTTATTTAGTGGACAGGAAAGCCAATCAGGACACTCAATCAGAATGGCAAGAAAAATGATGCCAAGACTATAAAAATAATTTAAGGAGCCTATGGGACACTATTAAGGCTCCAAATATTGGTCTGATTGGTGTAACAGAAGATAATCAAAATGTTGAACAGCTGTTTGAAGAAATAATGATGGAAAATTTCCCTAACTTGGTGAAGGAAATGGACATAAAACCCCAGGAAGCTCAGAGAATCTCCAAAATCAGGGATCTAAAGAGGCCCACACCTAGACACATCATAATTAAAATGCCAAACACAAAGAAAGACTATTAGAAGCCGCAAGAGAAAAAGAAGTAATTCCTTGTAAGGGAACAAAACTGGCAGCTGGTTTCTCAAAAGAAACTATGCAGGACAGAAGGGTTTGGCCAAAAACTGAGATAGTTCCTCATGCAAGGGAAACGAAAGAAAAAAATAAACAAATGGGACCATATCAAGCTAAAAAGTTTTTACACTACAAAGGAAACCATTAACAAAACACAAAGATAACCTACCCAGTGGGAGAAGATATTTGCCAATGATACATCTGATAAGGAATACAACTTAATACTAAAAACAAACAATCCAATAAAAAAATATGGGCAGAGGACCTGAATGGACATTGCTCCAAAGAGGACATAAAGATGACTAATAGACATATGAAAAGATGGTCAATGTCACTAATCCAGGCATCAAAAAACAGGAATAAAGAATGGTAACAACTACATTTCTATCAATAAGTACCTCAAATTGAAAAGAATTAAGTGCTTCAACCAAAAGATACAGTGGCTGAAAGAATAAGAAAACAAGATCCTTACGTATGAAAAGGAAGGGGATAGAAAAAGACATTGCTTTGATAGACCTAGAAGGTGTTTAAGTCAGATAGGGAAATTAAAACCACAATAAGATCTCACACTTGTCAGAATGGCTATCATCAATAAATCAGTACACAAGTGTTGGAGAGGCTGTGGAGAAGTGGTAACCCTCCTGCACTGCTGGTGGGAACGTAAATTGGAACAGCCACTATGAAAAACAGTATGGAGGTTCCTCAAAAAATTAAAAATAGCAATTCCACTTCTAGGTATTTAACCAAAGAAGTCTAAAACACTAATTTGAAAACACATATGTATCCCTATGTTCACTGCAGCATTGTTTAAGGGTAGAGGGGTTTGGGGGTGCTGAGAGAATGGGGCAAAAGATTAAAGAAGTACAAATTAGTAGCTGATGGATCATTGTTTACAATAGCCAAAATATGGAAGCAACTTAAGTGTCCATAGATAGACAAATGGATAAAAAAAATGTAGTACATATATACAATGGAATATTACACAGCCTTAAAAAAAAGAAGGAAATCTTGCAATTTGCAACAACATGGATGGACCTAGAGGATATTATGCAAAGTGAAATAAGTGAAACACAGAAAGACAAATACCATATTATTTCACTTACATATGGAATATAAAAAACAAAATAAACAGACAAAATAGAAACAAACCCATACATACAGAGAACAAATTGATCATGCCAGATGGGAGGGGAGTTTGGCAGGATGAGTAAAAAAGGAGAAGGGATTAAGATGTACAAATTGTCAGTTATAAAAACAGTCATGGAGATGTAAAGTATAGCATAAGGAATATAGACAATAATACTGTAATAACTACGCATGGTATCAGTTGGGTACTAGACTTATCAGGGCAATCACTTTGTAAATTATATAATTGTCTATTCAGTATGTTGTATACCTGAAACTAATATAATATTATATGTTAAATATAGAGTTTTTTTAATTAAAAAAAAAAAAAAAAGCAGGGAAATCCTTATAGGGAAGGGCAGTGTCATGGCCCGAGAAGGGAGGCATACACATATTAAACACCAAGAGATTTACTGAAACACAATGTAACGCATGTTTCATTTTCTAGTGGGAATAAAACTGACCCCACAAAACTAAAAAATAAAAATTGATAACTAATATAATTACCTTGAGGTAGCCAAAATTTAAACAAAACCCAAAATCATGAATAATAAAAGGAAAAACTGATAGCTAGGACTTCATCAACATTAAATACTTCTGCCTTTCAAAAGATACCATTATGGAAAAAAAAGAAAAAGAAAAGGCAAGCCACAGAACAGGAGAAAATATTCACAATACATATATTTAATAATGGACTTGTATCCTGAATAAAGAATTCTTACAACTCAATAGTAAGACAAACAATCCATTAAAATATGAGTAAAAGATTTGAACAGATATTTCTATAAAGATACACAAACTAAAAAAAACTGACAATACTAAATATTGGTGAGAACTTGGAACTTTTATATATTGTTGGTGGGGATGTAAAATGGTACAACCACTTTGGAAAACAGTTTGGCAGTTTCTTACAAAGTTAAACATATAATAAACCATAAGACTCAGCAACCTCACTCCTGGATTTATTCAAGAGAAATGAAATATATTCATAGCATCTTTATTCATGACAGCCCAAAACTAGAATGTCCATCAACAGATAAACAGGTAAACAAAATGTGGTATATCCCCACATTGGAACACTACTCAGCAATAAAAAAGAATTAATTACTGATCTACGCTTTACCATGGATAAATATAAAAAACATTATACCGACTAAAAGAAGCCAAACACAAAAGAGTACATACAATACGATTTCGTTTATATGAACCATAGAAAATGCAAACAAATACAATAATGACAAAAATCAGCTTAGTAGGGCTAGGAGTGGGGGGACATGACTGCAAAGAGCCCCTAGGAAACTTTTAGGTGTAATGGAAATGTTCTATTGCGGTGCTGATTGTGTAAAAAATTGCCAAAATTCATCAAAATGTACACTTAAAATGGGTACATGTTATTGTATTAAATTATACATCAATAAAACGTTAGTTTAAAAAATTTATTGGGCACATATCAAATTATTCGAAAACTTAAAACGTCCCAACTACTTTGTTTCAGCAAGATGAAAGTGACAGTATTATTATATTGAAAATCTACCAGCAGTTATAATATAGAAATCTTGGATTTTATTATTTTCCTTCCTGATCCTCATTCCAATATTGGTCAAATATTTATGCAAGCCACATATAAAGAAAAGAGTAAATAAGTTTAAAAAATGAATTATTTAATTCCCAACTTGAAGCTGTATCTCTACAACAATGTATGTGGTAAGTACTTATTCAAAATTCTAATTCTAATGGAAAAGAAGATGACAGTCACACACTGCAACTCTAAATTTGGGAGAGTTTCCTAATCTTGTATTGGTGCTTCCCCTATGCAGGATTGCATCATTCATTCATGCTGTTTGGTAACAAGCAGCAGTGAAATAAAACAAGTAAAAATTACACAAAAGTAAATTGATGAGAAGAAAGCTTTGAAATCTCATGAAATAGTTTACTTATCCTGATTAAGAAAAATAAATGTAGAATCACGGAGGCCCTGGATGTGGAAAAGGCAGACCGGTAAATGAGAAAGTTGGGCACACAGAGAGGTAAACACATGTCGGGACTTACCCTGGTGGTTGCTGCTCCTTCCTGGGCCGCTGCCACCCACTCCAGGGCTCCCGCGGCTGTAACTGCAGGGGGCCGACGGCTGTCTCCAACGCTCAGTCACGGAGTTCCAAGGGTGGTGACCTGTGCAGAGTCGCAGAGCCTTCCTTTACCAAACAATCATATGAGATCTGCTGATAGCTGCAGCGGCTTCTGGTCTGCTTTGCAAGTGCTTTATCTAAACTAAAGATTGCAGATTCAGGCTGGGAAGAAGAACTTGGCCCCGCCCCCGGGGAGGGGCTTCCTGAGCCCGCCCACTTCTCCCTCCCCCGGCTCTGCGTTGGAGGACCCAGACATGCCCTCCACTGTGGAGGCTTTCCTGCAAAGCTGGGAGGCGCACCACTTAAACTTTACAGAGGAAGAACAAAGAGCTACCGACCTTCAGAAGCGCTCCCTACGCCACCACCACTTGGGATAAGGGTACATGGGAGAAACGAGAGAGTTCTGCACTAATTTTGCAATTAAGGAAAACCCCTTAAGGAGCTTCTTTTGACATTACGCGTTTGTAGGAATGTAGATCTTCAGAGAACTTCAAAAACGACTTATTCGCGACTAAAATGCAGAAAACCGTGACAAAATGAGTCTTTGCACCTTTTAGCTTTTTTTTTTTTTTTTTTTGGTCATTTTTTTTTCTAGGTGTCACTTGTCCAGCTACTTTTATGTTGACTGCAATAAATGATTGTCCCCAAACATTTACCTTTAGGCGCAGCTGGCTGGAGCTGGGCAATGAGACCCTACCCTAAAGGCAACCTGAAACCGTAGATGCTGATAGCTCTGCAGGCTTCCTCCAAGCTGATCACTCAGGCAGAGGGAATGCAATTGAGCAGGACACTTGGTGACAGATTCTCTGCCCTTTGTTACAGAACACCTCAAAAAACACAATTCTATCCAGAAAGAAGAGTCTTGCTGCTCTTTGGTCAGATGTGCCTTTGAAGTTCAATCTTATCGGATTTCATTAGTAATAAAATGGTTGCAAGTTTGGAGCAAATCGTTTCATTTTTCTCAGATCTGCCAGAGATGGTTCTGATGAAAGATGGAGAGGAGAGATTTTAAACTTTTGAAATATGACATAAAAGATTACACAATTCCAGATGAGTACTAGACTAATAGAGGGGTTATTTGTAAATTGTATAAATGTACTATACTATATACCCGAAACTAATATAAAATAATATTAAATGTCCATTCTAATTTAAAAGTTAAAATTTTAAAAAGATTATATAATTAAGGGGGTGGGCAAACTAACAAGGTCTAAAATAACAGTCTAGTCAAGAACCAGTTTGTATTTTGTAGTAATTTAGAAACAAGTCTAATAAAGGAAACAAGGTGTTAAACATCAAATATTTGTACACAAGTATAAAAAGTAATTGAGAATTTATTTAAACAGTAAAAGAAACCCAAGTAAATGCAAAAGAAGAGTTCATTTCTGCTATTATTTATATTTCAAAGATATTTAGTATCAAATAGATTTCAAATAAAATATTTATACTGAATAAAATCTGTCAGCTACTCATGGTCCCTGTACCTACCTCACATTCATACCTGTATTAACACTTATGGTCATGAGGTGGTAGTGTTGTAGTCACTGTTTAGCTGGAGCACACACTACTTAAAAAAAAAAAAAAGTCCAGAGGAAGCTAATGGGTATCACAGATATATGTAATGATCAGAAGTAACCTTGCCAGACAAGGCATAAAATATAAACAGATTAAATATCCTTCATTGTTGTTCTTCTGAAATAATGTTAAATAGCAAACATGAACCAAATACAAAACAGTATTATGAAGTCATAATAAAAACATTGGCAAATTATTTGGCAAAGCTTTAATCATAATTGGTTAGTAAAAAGTAATATAGGTAATACTGATGTTCCTGAAAGGTTTTCAATAGATCACATTTTTATAAGCTAACAAGTTTTCTAATGATTAACTGTGTTAGAATCAAGTACTGTTTTTTTCTTTAAAAAGTAATTTAGTGCTAATAAAATAGCCTTATAAAACATAGTAATTGGAACAATTATATCAGAAAACAATATGGTCTTATTCAGTACCATTGAACAGGCACGTTTTCTATGACCCAGTAATTCCACCTCAGGAATGCACTCAAAAAAAAAAACACTTTTGTACATAAGTACCAGGAGTATAAGAATGTTCACAGTAATACTGTATACATATAAATAAATAATCATTGACCAAAAGCTTTAAAAAGAGAATATCATTTGATGTCATAAATGATAACTCACAATATAAAATTCAGGATAGTAATTAGCCTCTGGAGACGGGAAAAGAAATGAGACTGGGAAGAGATTATATAGAGTTCTCTGATGGTATTAAAACTGTTCCTTTACTTAAGGGCAATAAGTATACAGGTTTCTTTTTGTATCTGTGTATATATATATATATATAAAATATTTTCTAATACATGTAATATTTTTATATCACTACATTAAATACCAATACATTAAAATATCATAAATGTTTTAAAGAATATAGCTAAAGAAAAATACAATTTAATATAAACAATAACATTCAAAATAATTCATACCATGGAAATATGTCTATGACATGTCTTGTGAATAAAGTAGTTTACAGAACAATGTATGTATAGTCTGATTCCCATTTTTGAACAAAGAAAAGGTTTTGTATGTCTATATACATGTGCAGTATATGGTAATATATCTATGTCTATATATCTTTATAAAAGGATACACATCAGACTCAGTAGCAGTTAATTCTGGGAAGTAATTAATCCTGGGGAGTAAAAGGAGTGAAGAATTTACCTTTCTACTTTTTTCAGTTTCATGTCGATTGAAATTGGTTTAAAAACATTTATTTCTTTTGTCATGATTTAGAAACCAATTAAAATAAATGCCTGAGAGGTGAAGGGGTGGGCAAAATAGATGAAGGTGGCCAGAAGCTACAGACTGCCAGTTATAAAATAAATTATGGGGATGTAATTAAAATGAGGAAAACTCAGCTCTTTCCTCCTTCCTATGCAGGGAGAAACAAAATTCTTCCCTACTATGTCTTCTTTACTACTCACACAAAACACTTCAGGTAACCAAATGTGTGCGGGGTTTTCCCCACATCAAACAATTCCCTGCTACACCAGCTGGATATCATATAATTTAACTCAATTCTGACACTATATGCCTGCAGCAACAGAACCACCCGTTAGGACTCAGTCCCACAAGATTGCGCGCGCGCGCGCACACACGCACACACACACACACACACACACACACACACACACACTTACTTCTGACAGTAGTCTCAAGCCCAGGTTATCACCTGTGAGTCAGACCAACTGGCTATAGACTAGAGGTTCCAAGGACCCCTCTCCTTGAGTTCAATTAATTTGTTAGAGCCACTAACAGAACTCAGTGAAACACTAGTTTTTTACAAGATATGATAAAGGATACAGATGAATAACCAAATGAAGAAATACATAGGGCAAGGTTTGGGAGGGTCCCAAGCACAGGAGTTTGTGTCCCTGTGGATTTGGGCTGCGTTACCCTCCTGGTCTGGGTGTGTTCACCAACATAGAAGCTCTCCAAACCTCACATTTTGGGGATCTTATCGAGTCTTCATCATGTAGACATGATTGGTCATTAACTCCATTTTCATCCCTTCTCTCTTCTCAAGAGAATGGGATGGGGCGTGGCTGAAAAATTCCAACCTTCTAATCATGGCTTGGTCTTTCCCATGACTAGCCTTTATCCAGGAGCCCACACAGTTGCCTCATTAGAACAAAGAACAATCCTATCACCTAGATAATTACAAGAGTTTCAGGAGCTCTGTGTCAGGAACAGAGGTCAAAGACCAATATTAGAACCAGAGTAGCTCCTAGTTGCTCTTATCATTTAGGAAATTACAAATGTCTTAGGAGCTCTGTGCCAGAAACCAGGGGCAATTACCAATATATATTTTCTATTATCTTACAATAATGTACAGCACAGTGATGATAGTTAATACTATATTGCATGTTTGATAGTTGCTAAAAGAGTAGATCTTCAAATTTCTCATTACAAGAAAAAAAAATTGTAACTATGTATGGTGATAGCTATTAACTAGACAACTTGTGATAATTTTGTAATATATACAAATATTAAATCATTATGTTAGACACCTAAAACTAATATGTTATATATCAAATATAACTCAATAAAAATAAATATTAAAATCTAAAAAGGTAAAAAATAAATAAACAAATGCCTCAGATTGCTAAGTCAAATGATTATCCCAAAAAAATTATCTAAAGGTGCTAATTGGAGAAATGGTGGAGGTTCTGGTCAGGTGGCAGGGTAGGTAAACGTTGTGCTTGCCTCCATCCATGACTGCATTAAAATTCCAACTAAATTATAGAACAACATGAAGACTAGCTAAACAGAGCTCCTGTAACTAAGAATATAAAGAGGAGGCCACAACAAGACTGGTACGAGGGGTGGAGATGCGAAATGGGCTGGGCTAGCACCCACACGTGGCAGTTGAGCATCAGGAAGGATATCTAGGCCGCGGGGTTTCCCCTGGAGGAATGAGGGGACCCAACCCCACACTGGGCCTCCAGCCCAGGGTTCTAGTAAAAGAAAAAAGAGTCCTCATAAAATCTGGCTGTAAAAATCAGTGGGGATTCTGACCATCCAGGTAAGATAAAAAGCTATTGGAAATCCAGACATTCCCTTACACGGCCCATACACAGACTCACTCGCTCACAGAACTCACCCGGGGCTCCAGCAGAGGGACAGAAGCTCTGGAAGCACAAGAGGCATACAAAGAAAGACTGAGTTGTGCGGTTTTTAAGGCAAGGGCTAAAGAGACAGTCATCATTATCTCTATATTGAACCCTCCTCCTGTGCAGCCAGCAGGCAGGTGCCACTTTGCCTGTGTTGAGCCCTACCCTTACAAATAGCCAAATCTGAATCTGCATTGGCCTGGTAAACTCCGCTCACTCCACCCCAGTGACTCCCTGGGTCCCTGCCCCAACCAACTCTCAATTGCTGGAGCCATATTCTTGGCTGGGCAACTAACTAGTCCCACTCTGCCCTCCCAGCAGGAGGCTCTTTAAGCAGCAATCTACAGGCCTCCGCTCTTATACCTCCACAGGTAATTCGGGTGGTGGGAAATAAGCGCTGGCCCGAGCTCCAGTGTTTCCTGGACAAATCTTGGTAGTCTGAGAGCCTGAGGCAGGTAGGCAGTAGCTGGCCTCAGTGTAATTT